AAATAAACTTCAAACATAAAAACTTGGCCATGTTTGTTTTCATTCTTTTACTTTAAATGTGTCAAATATAATTATGTCCTGTCTTTGATATAGCCATTACTATCAATATCATCACTGGGTGCCTTTCAAAATGACTGCGACTATTATGTTCGATCAAGCTTGATATTCGTCCCCAACTGCACAACACAAGCGAACAACCGATCGATAGATTTTCCTCGATGCTTAAATTATGCAGGGTGTTGGATTTATAAATTTTGTTTTTCTTCCTAGATGATTTTAGACTGGTCGACCGGCTTAATGTCGGTATTAGGAGATATCTTGGGTTAATGTAACGTTTGTCTCCCCAAGCCGCGCCCATAGACACACTAGCTCACTTCTGGTTGGTAGTTCCTGAACCTGTCACCTTGGCACAAAGTTACAGGGGTGTTCCGCAATGCCGTTGATATTGCATGTTGTATACTTCAGCACACCCGCACTTTTAAGATTCTAAAATGAAAGAGAAACTGGGCCTAAAAAAACGTCCCTAGAGAGTACTGCAACCTATGTCATAGGCATTCTCTATCTCAGAATGAAAATGTAAATGCAAGACAATGCAGAACGCAAACAACAGAGCGGGACACACCTGTATCCTTCAGGAAAGTCGACCAGCCCAACGAATTTGTGAATGAAAAGTGAACCTAACCGAAAACTTGAGTAGTAAAGGAGACCGGTTTAAAATTGACAGCATGACACCATGACTCAGTCAAGTTCCGATTACATGAGTTGAGCACCACATGTCGGATGTGTTAATGGCAGAAGAAGGATCTTACAAAGATTCATTTTACCATCACTTTAGTATTGTCCTAAAAACCCCAGTCTCGTTCATTTTGATCAAACCTTTTTGGTTTTTCCACAATTGTTTAGATAGTTTACTTCATTGATGTTCTTTGTAAAGGATCTAAGCATTGAAGAGAACTGGCTCATAAACAGCATCCCGTTCCGCAAAGCTGAGGCTTTATTGGTCATGCTGAAGGTGATGGTGGTCTGGAGAGAGCGGTGAGAGAGGCAGCATCTATAGGAAAATGAGACAGGGGTAGACATCCACATAGGTGGATAGAAGACATTGAAAATGATTATTTGACTATGGAAGCAAAAAGAGCTGTCGATTTGGCTATAGAAAGAAAGACTTTCAGGCCTGCCGTGACGAGAGCTTTTGTAAATAACCTGCTCGTTGATGAGCACGTATTCTATCAAGCAAACATGCAACAGTCAAGGAGATACGTAAGGAAATTTTTATGTCTATCTATCAAAGTTCTTTGCTCGTGTGATGAGAAGAGAAGCACTCGAAAATACCGTGACGACTGGAAAGATCACATGTAGAAGAGACAGAGGTAGACCAAGAGAAACGATGATGGATAGCTCAAGACAGTGGCATGGAGGAATATTATCAGTGGAAGTGATACAGAAGACAAAAGACCAAGATCTGTAGATATGCATGAACGCATACGCCAGCTGGCAAGGCACTTAATGATGATTATGATGATCTATCTATCTATCTATCTATCTATCTATCTATCTATCTATCTATCTATCTATCTATCTATCTATCTATCTATCTATCTATCTATCTATCTATCTATCTATCTATCTATCTATCTATCTATCTATCTATCTATCTATCTATCTATCTATCTATCTATCTATCTATCTATCTATCTATCTATCTATCTATTTATCTGTCTGTCTGTCTGTCTGTCTGTCTGTCTGTCTGTCTGTCTGTCTGTCTGTCTGTCTGTCTTTTTTTCTATCAATATATGTTTACATCATGCATGTTTGTCTATCACCTATTTATGCATATGTTTGTCTAACACCTATTTATGCATATGTTTGTCTAACACGCATATATATATATATATATATATATACATGTGTGTGTGTGTGTGTGTGCCTGTCTGTGTGTGTTTGTCTAGCTGTCTTTTATACTTCTGTGTGTGTCTGCCTCTCCGTTTGTCTCTCTTCATACCATATATCTGTATGTCTCCAGATCTATAAATCTGTCTATCTAGCTGATGTTTAAGGCAAATCCCATCTCTAGGGCTATGAAGCCATGTTCAGTGGTCAGTTGGGGAGTGGACTGGACATTGCCTAACAGAGATGACAAAATAAACATGGAGGCAATACTACTTTCTTGCCAGCCACCCACAGTGGACTACGGGTAACTGTGTAATCATTTTGTGGTGCCCCAGTGTAATTGGCTATGACGCTATTTGGACTAAATTGATATTCCAGCATTAGGTTGTGTTTGATTCTCATCCTTAACATGTTAATCCTTAGGAACAACTAACTAACATATACCTTGCATGTAAAAGACAAAATAAGCAAACTTCCTGAACATCGGGAGCGATTTTTGTTGTTGTTGTTGTTGTTGCTGCTGCTGCTGTTGTTGTTGTTTTGAGACCGACATAAACTAGTTTGGTTCCGGCATGTGGTGAAACATAAATCGATAGCAAAGACTGTACTTCAAGGAACATTGGGGGGTTGTCGAAGAAGAGGAGGGCAAAGAAGATCCTGAAATGACGTCAAGAAATGGACATGACTAAGTTATCATACACATGTTCATCAAGCGGAAGAAAGAGCAAGATGGATAGTTTTTTTGAGCTAGTGCTTCCATCGATACACCTCCATGACCCTAACGGGTCAAAGGTTATTATGATACGTAACCCCAAAGAATGCAATCCTTAATTTCATTTTTTAAGGCGGGGGGGGGGGGGGGGGGGGAATTAGTGTATTTGTTAAAGGGGAAAATTTAAAATGTACTTGTTGAGAGTTTAAGTTATATGGGGTGCTGGTAAGAGTTTTAGAAAGGTTAAGGTGGGGCAAGGCATTAAAAAAAAAGGTTGCGAAACACTTGCCTAGCCTTATACGCCGAACACGCCAGAAGGGGTGCAAAAAGGTCCTTTACGGCTTTTTGTTTAAGAAACAAAAATGCCAGCATATATTAACCTGCCGTTACAAAAACCCGTTGGTGAACAA